GATTGGTGACGAAACGTTTGCAACCAAATTGCCAAGCTCAGCGAACCGTTCAACTGCCATCCAAACATCTCTAGCTTAATAAAGAGCCGCGTTTACAGTACATCTGTTCGTTCAGTTGTTGGATAGGAACGAGACATGACCAATTCGTGCAGATAACCTACGTTGTCTTTCCGCCTTTGACTACTGTTGTTTGATTAGAATGCTCATGTGTGGTAGCAACACCGAGTTCACAGTGATGAGGTCAAACGTCGCGTCCTGTGGAGTGCGACTATTCCCTTCAACAAGCTGGTTTTACTGCGCCAGTCGAGATGGCTCGGTCAAGCCCTAGGCATGGCGCCTGAGCATTTGCCACGCCGCGCTCTATTCGCTCATTCAAGGCGGTAGCTCATGAACCTATCTTTCTGGAGAGGGACCGGAGGATAAGGAATATCAGCGCCTTAACACGCCTGAGGACAAATGCTACAACCGGAATCAGCGGAAGAACTGTGTAGAGAATTGTGTTAATTCACATGTTGTTTAACTCAAACATTGAAAATAACAAAAGAAACGGCGTGTGAAAACAAGATAAAAAGATCTTGTTCCAGTTTCGGTCGAGTTGTACTTTCCTATGAATCCTATGGTTTATAGAATTGCTCCATGTCCACTGTGGATATATCTAATCCGCATGAGTCAGGGAAGTGGCCATGTGCTAGACCCGCTGCCTTTCGGGTGTTCCTTTGATCGAAGGCTTTGACTGAGGACCCAAGTCGTTCTCCTGTCAGGTATGGGTGCCCTGCCAGTATTCTGGTCTATCCTCTTCGGAGGTTAGGAAGTTATGGACAGCCCTCTTCCCGTAAAACCTAGCCATGGGAGACAACAGGTCTACGAGTTATAAGCTCACCGGTAGATTGGCGTAGAGAACGAGCGCCACGCACTGTTTCTGACGGTGGGAGGGCATCTCCGGGTGCTCAATGGTTTACTACTGCCCGCCTCAAACCAGGCAGCCCCTGGTCGATTGGTGTAAACCCGCCAAAACCCACCTGCGTCTGGTCGTGGTTGCAGGCGCATTTCTTACTAAGGTGGCAAAACATAAATTAATCGTTCCAGAACGTCAAAGGCTGCGTGTGACGGCCGTCAAGCGGATCCCAATCTGTCTCTGCAATCACACTCCTGAGCTGGATCTGTTCCGCACTGCCTTGTGGGTCAGGCTATTGAGCCAAAGGCTTCGGGCGGAGTCCTCAACCAACCCTCCAAACCACACACTACCTTGTGGGTCAGGCTATTAAACCAAAGATTCCGAGCAGAGTACCTCAAGCAAATCCCCGAAGCACAACCACCACCACGCGTGCGAGTAACCACCAATGCAATCAGGTTGCCTGCGCGCAAAGCACTCAACATCGGGTACTGGAACGTGCGTACACTGCTCGACCGGAACTCGATTGAGCGCCCCGAGCGACGCACTGCAATGGCCGCCAGGGAACTGGCGCGCTACCACATCGATATTGCGGCGCTCAGTGAGATCCAGCTAGCTGACCAAGGTAAGTTGCATGAAGCTAACTATAAGTTCCACTGGGTGGGAAACGCCACCTCAGAATCACATGAACATGGAGTCGGATCGCTTCAATGGCCAGCTGATGGGTGAGCCGACTGACATCAGCGCGCGACGGATGGCTGTTCGCCTGCGACTCGGAAGTGGTAAGTCTGCCACCTTTTATTAGCACGTACAATCCGACATTGTGTTATCCTGATGACACGCGTGATCAGCTATTCTCCGTGATAGGGTCTGTGCCGAGCAGCGACCGACTATTTCTGCTGAGTGGTTTCAACGCGCGCGTTGGGCGTGATACATTGGTGTGGACAGATGTCATCGGTCCGCATGGAAATGGTTCAGCGAATGCGATCGGCGGCAGGCTGCTCTCACTGTGTGCTGCTCACGGCTTGACGATCACAAACAGTCGGTTTGCACTGAGTGCGAGTGCTATAGCAACTTGGACGCACCCACGGAGTGGTCACGCTCACCTGCTCGACTACATCATCGTATGTCAATGTGACATGCGTGGAGTGCGTATGCCACGTGTGTGAGTGTGGCAACTGATCACAAATTGGTGCGTACCAAAATGTATACAGATTTCCGTAAATCTATGTATTACACTTCTTCCGTGAACTGGCATAAATTTAACATCCTCTCCCTCGGTAATGACGCGAAACGTATTGAGCTGGAGAAGGCGATGGCTGCACGTCTGTGTGGTGTGGAATGCATAGCCACCGTGGGCGACCTGTGGTACCATATTCGCGACCAGGTGACAGCTGCCGCTGAGGAGACCATCGGGCGCGAAAACTGCAAGCGGTCCGATTGGTGTGATGAAAAGAAAGCAACGATTGGTATATTGCCGTATGAGAAGAAAGCAGCATTTGCTGCACATGTGGCAGACCCAAGTGACTTGGGGAAGAATGGTCAGTTTGGCAAACTTCGACGGCGACTGATTCTAGAGGTCCGTTGCATAAAAGTTCATGGTGTAGGGAGAAGGCAAGGCTGATCCAATGCTACGCCGAACGCCGCCAACAAAGGAGCTATTTGGCTCCACATAGGCGGTGTATGGACCGAGATTGGAGCCGCTTAGGACGCTAATCGATGGTAGCTCAGGTGCTGCCTGGACACGGACTGCAGATCTGGCGAAATCACTTTGATCGTCTCTTGAAAAACCGTTCAGAGATTGACTGGCTTACATTGAACAGCGTTAAGCAGCATGACGTGAAGGTGAGTCTGGCAGACACGCCGACACTGGATAAGACGCAGAGAGCACTTGCTCAGCTGCGAAACGGCAAGTGTGCCGGTGCCAACGGGATCCCGCCTGAAGCATTGAAACACGGCGGACCCACGTTGGTGCCTGCACTACACCACCTGGTGCAACGCGTGTGGATTGAGGAGGTGGTGCCTCCTGAGCTGAAGAATGCCTTTGTGCTACCACTGTACAAGGGCAAAGAAAGCAAGTAATGTTGCACGAATTATCGTGGCATCAACTTGCTGAGTTGTGTGGACAGGGTAATTGCCCGAATCCTGCTTAACCGACTCGGCACTCAGGTCGTTGAACCGAAGGTGGCGGAGGAGCAATGTGGATTAGGTTAGGGTCGCAGTACCATAGATTTGGTGTTTGCGGCTCATCAGTTGCAGGAGAAGTGCAGAGAAATACACCAGCAGTTGTACTGGATGTTGGCTGACTTCACCGAAGCATTTTATGCGGTGAACCACGAGGCATTGTGGCTGTTATTGGGTAAGTTTGGTTGTCCGAGTAAGTTTGTATGTTTAAGTGAATGTCTGCATAGTGGTATGCGGGCGAGGATGCAGCGCAGTGGACAGACCTCGGGTGACTTTGCAGTTGTCCCAGGTGTGAAGCAAGGCTGTATCTTAGCTCATGCCCTGTGTAATATTTATCTTCACGCCGTGATGTCTTGTTGTTTTAATGCTGCTTGTGCTCACGGTGTTCGTGTGGAGCACCATATTGATGGTGGGTAACTGAACATCTGTCGTTTCGGTGCGAGAACCCTAGTCTGTGAGACAACTATCCGTACGTTTTGTTCGCTGACTATGCGTTGTTTGCACACAGCGCGGATGAGTTGCAGCACATGATTAGTGCTCTGGCTTTGCCAATTGTCAAATTCGGGCTCACAATCAACACAAGCAAAACTGTCTGTCTCTTTCAGCCTTCACCGGCGGTGCAATCTGCAATGGTACCGCGAATCAGAATTGATGCTGAAGTATTGGAAACCACCGCCCGCACATCCGGTTTCGGATTTGCCTGTCGCTGTGGCCAGCCACAGGACGCCTACGCCTACAGAGCGACCATAGATGGCTTGCGCTGCACCACCCACAGCCCCATCCACACACCCCATATCCAGTGTAAACCTGAAAGAATAACACCGGGAGGCATGCGGATGGGAGCCACGTTTCATCAACGGAGTCGGCCCACACTCCTTCACAGACAAACACAAGCAAGCTGTATTTGGGGAATCAAGCGCACACAAGGTGGCGGCTGGACCGTAGTCCGCTCCACACTGAATGCATTGAATCACACTTCGATCGTAACACGGCCACAAAGACCGTGCACCCCGTCCCCTCCAGCAACGACTAACTGTTTCCTGGAGCCAGTATGGACGAGGTAGTGGGTAATAGACAGGTAGGCACCTTGTCAACATGCACATCAAGCGCAGCCACACCTGAGATGTCAAACAACAGCCAATCATTCGAAATGCCGGCATCAAATAAAAGATATCGAATAAAGTTAACGTATATGACGACATAAATACTCACTAAATGAGCGATTGCAGTAAATTGGTTATAAGCGAATCCGCGACAAGTACAAAATGTCCGAAAGTCATTTAAAAATTGCTACGTGATAGCGTTACGCAAGGTCACCACAATTTGCATGAGTGGCGTGTGTAAGTTAGGAGATGATTATCAAGTACGCAGAACAAACCAAATAAAGTGGAATGAATTTTATCCATATTAAAATGCATATATATATATATATATATATATATATATATATATATATATATATATATATAGGGGCACCGTTGATAATCTTCCGCGGTGGCCAGAGCATCAGGAAATTGTTTGAGGAAGGATGCACAGTATTGGGGGGGGGCAGGATACTGTCAGATTGACTAACCATAGAGAGGAGAACGATTCGGGTTCTCAACTAAAGTCTTTGGTTCAAAAACTTGACCGTAAGGCAGCGGGTTTGGCAGTGGACTACAAGGAGTCTGTGTTAAGGAATAAGGAGCAACGTTCACCCGACTTCCAACCTGGAGGACCAGGAGAATGTGTTTGTCTGGATTGAGGTGTTTTCTACCTGTAGCTGACGTGCATTATGATGAAGACCAAGCGACGCATTTGATTTCGCGTAGGGTTAGATCCATTTTCAACCTTGCACCACAAAAGAAAACGTAATTTTATGGCAGACAAATTGGGTGGAAGGGTGAGATAAAGACGACTGCAAAACAGAATGACATAAACTTACCACAGGTGATGTATGCTTGCTGAGGAGTGTGAGTTCCCACAAGCAAGCGCTGGCTGGCATACACAGCTCGGGATTGTCTACGTCAGGACGGTAGGGTCCACCAACCTCTGTTTCTGAATCGAATAGAACTTCGCAGCGCGGAAACAACCGGAAGAGATGAACAAGCCTGACGAGCATGGCTGCAGTACAGCTGTTATCGGACTGATCGAGAAACGGAAGAAAGAAGGTGAGGATGGGATCATAAACCGATGAGATCTTGAACACATGAGGCATCAGTAAGTATGAAATCGAGCTTCAGAAAGGTTTGAGAATAACGGGTTGGTGTGGTTGGAGGGCAACGCTTCACTTTTTATGCAGAAATTTCGTAAGTCCAAGTGAACTAGCGGGTGACTGGCAAAGTGGGACAGTCTGAAGGGCGCCGGCGGACGGATCCGGGGCAGAGCACGAACAACAAACCAATCCTAGCTTCATCACCTACAGGGACATGTTACAGTGTGTCATTTGAAATGATACCGTGATTACCATCTTAGTTGTCCCAATTTGCCATAAAAAGCCGCACCCATAGCCCACTGGTTCACTTGGTCTGACGAAGCTTTTGTGTCAAAAGCGAAACGTTGCTCTCCAAGTACACCAACCGGTCGTTTTCAAACCGTTCTGAAATGATGCACTATCGATCGCTGCCAAGCGTATTTAAAGATGGACGATATCAGGCTGTTGGGAGAAAATAGTAGCGAGACAACACACTAACAGTTATGAAGTAACAAGGTGATTCATTCTATTGATGTCATGAGTTTGGCATAAGCGCAACTAAGAGTGTAGAATCGTAGATATGCATGCCTGCATACAAAGACTGCGTCGCTCAATAGAAACCACGGGGAGTGGTCAGTAGAATCTTGGTGGGGGACCGTACAGAAACGTACTAGCGTTACTCAAACAAATACGGTGTATCTGAAAACTCGACATCCTCCCATTTTTCCACACAAAGTTGCAACCGTAGTGCTCATACTGTGGATGTATCAAGACTGATGTATGCGTGTACAAGTGTATCAACCTAGCGTACACAGAGAATGTAAAAATGCTACTAAATTAGGTCCATGGAGACGGCAAAAGAGTCATTAGCAGTACGCCGGTACACAGCACCGACGCGTCGTTGGCAAGCAACCACTACCAGTCGCGCGACCATCGGGTCGCCCTGTCCCCTACGAAGACTCGGACTCGTGCCTTCAGATTACAAGGCTGGCTTGTGATCCTTGAGACCACGGGCCGGCCAGATGGTAAAAGCACAACTGCGAAGAGATCTCTTACCGATAAGTCTCGTTAAACAGTCAAACTATAAAAAGCTGCGGAGGTAACAGTGAGTTAGTGAAATAAGAACTGAAATTGGCTGAACAGGGATACAACTCTCGATGGGAGACAATCAGGTGGCGAACATTGCGGCAGAGCACGCAGACATGCATATGAAGCACCATCAGGTCAATTAGCAAGAGTGACAAGTATCACATTCGGTCTTGGCCAGTGTCGCACGCGGGCGAATTCTCGCTACGGCCGCCGGAAGATGAGGGATTGCATTGGCGATCTATGCTCATGTAGATCTGGTTAAGGCAGACGAACAGTAATAGGTTCGACAGCTCTTGGGCTTTTTCTAAAGCATTTAAGAAGTGGTATGGGTACAGCGTACATTGGACAGGAGAGGAAGTTCACCATAAAACAAATATTCCGAAGTGGAACACGCTTCTGACTCTGCGTTTCTGCGGTGGTCCCGAGCCGTGTTCTGCTATCAGCATCGATAAAATCCTAGCAGTATAGTGGAACAATAATTTATCAGGGGTAAAAAAAGGCCGGCTATCGAATCACTCCCTGTTGTGTCAACTAAGCGGCTCGGGTAGCTCCCGTTCCGGCCATTAGTTCAGCGGTAGTGTTCCACAATGTGTTGGATTTAGGCCTGGCAAGCGTTCTCCCTGTAAAACGCCACAATGGACTGCTTAGCAATACTGCGATGTGGCGGATGTGTCTCGACGACACATAAAGTCGTTGGCACTTGTCTTGTTCGGAGACACTGTACAACAGCAAGCAATCCAGCTAACAGTTTTCTTTCTTAGCTATTTAGCATTCCAGCTTCATCGCATTTATAATGTTTTTATGGAAGCTAAAATATTTGGCAGGTACATTTTGGATATTAGGTTCGTGGTATATCTGACCACTGCAAGAATATAAACGTCCCGGATGAACTCAAACCGAATCCATTAGATCAGTTGCAAGCACTAATGTGTAGATGGATTTGAGTGCGATTTTATTTAGTTCATTGCAAGTACATCGCATGCCATTTGGTTAAGCTATAAATCTGGAATAACGCCAGACAACTGTTTTGTCCTATTGAGTCTCGTCAGTGTTGCCTAATCTCATGGCCCCATGCTGCGGATTGAAACCATAACCGCTGTTGGTTGCAGCACTAGCTAGCAGCTTGTGCCACTGAGCCATAGAGAGGACAATAGTCTATCATCCCAGAGTTAACATAACTGCTTTGGTTTACCAGAATTGGAAAGGGAATTCTTCCATCAAACGGCCAACCACCGTCCGTTGCATGGCCGGTAGCCTGCATGGCAGTGGAGGAAGGGTCCTGCTATATCGCAGTTACAGTTCAATCTGTGGTGATCGGCTACGATTCGCATGGCTCAATGGCTTATGCTGCTGGCTGGTGGTGTATGCCACTGGCGGTCATGGGTCCGATTCTAATGAAGGGGCCGAGAGGATGTGCCCCAACACTAGTCCCAATAGGATCAAACGATCGCCCGGTGCTTTTACAAATTTGAGCTAACCAATGTGGCTTGCAGTAGAATTACGATGAACCAGTCAAATAAGTTTAACTATGTCTCAAGAAGCAAAGTAGTCAGCACTTGTACGAATTAACCCACACGCCAACCATTTTAAGCCGTTATTATACAACGCTAAATCCTACAACAGCCCATAATTCTACTTCCCTCTGAGTCTACTCTCGGCTTTGTCTATATCGGAGATAATTTTGAGATCCACAAATATAAGCAAACTAATGTTTATAATCACAGCTTAAATGTCACCATGAATTATGGTTTGCCACAAGACGTCTTCCTATCGTTTAGTTTAATAAGGTTTAATAATAATAAGGTTTAATAAGTCAGTTTTTACAAAAAGTTTACTCTAAATTATTGTTTGAGTATGTGTTAACGTTCCGCCTTTAATCCAATTACACCGTGCTATGGGGAATCCTAATTTTTATGTCGCCAATAGATGCCTATTACTGGTAGCGGCCAACATAAACTTACTTTGTGAGCCGCCTAACGCTCTTTCGATTATCAACAATTTGTCTGTTCCGTACTCTGTGCTATATTTGAGGTTAACTTTTTTACTTAAAGTTTGATACAAAAACATTTATGGAGCGAGTGGATTGTTAAGCATATGTTGAATGTATTTAGGTTCGTGTGTAAAAGATATACGGTTTTAGCCAAACGATATTTTATAAGTAGAAATTATTCACAGGTAAAATTTTATATTCAGCACTCACCAGAAACAGTATTGTAAGCCCGTTTCCTCCTTTTAGTAGATGTCACCAGTGCGCACTCCATCTGGCCTCTTTAAGACGGCGACGAATTTTACTATTCCCAGGGACGGTTTCTGCCGATGTAAAATAGTTAATGGGCATGAGATAGATACGCTAATATTTGGCAGGTTTTTTTTGGAAAATATGGGCTACAATATACTAGACAAGGATGTATCGTGTAAGTCAGTGTATAGTCAGCGGCACTCTATCGCATCTAGTAGCTAAGTCACGACGGTCGTTCCCATCCCTATAACCCAGCGGTTTTCACCGCCGACTAGCCCCACAAGATCAGGTGGAATGCGCACTGCTGACACTACCTGGAAGGATAAACTTGTCGTACAGTGCATTTCAGGCGTGCAATGATATGTTGCTTTTGGATACTCTAAGGATTATGGATCTCCGTATTGGTACTTCCTGTTTAGAAGAATAACGAGCAAGTAGGAGAAGGGTTGATTAGAGTCCCCGTTGGTGAAGACAACTGAAAATATTCTGAAAACGACATACTCAGTTCTGAGTTCTTTCAAGTCTACTAGTACAATCCAAATGAAGTCAAATAGTTGCGGTTGTGCATGGTACTTTTAGCCTGCGTTATTTTGGAAGTTTACTAAAAATCGAAATAACTATGATCTCCAAGATCATTGATGTAATTTGATGTTTAACACAGAACCAATATAAACCACTTTGTTCTCAGTGTTCAACTGTCTGGTGCTCAGATTCTCAGCTGTAGACAAAGTGTCCGACTGGATCGATTTGGCAGCAGACTTTCGCAACTCTGATTAATAACAATGAATTTATGCTCACTGCGGATGCGGTGCTGTTGATCGAGTATTAGGGATATAAGTTGATAATTTTTTTTACTTTAATGTGAGAGTTCTGTTCTACTCCAGTTGCACAACATGCAAAGTGTCATACTAGTCGTCTTATTCTCTTCATTTCCTTAACAAACGTTTCAATATATACATAATAAGCTTGTTTCTTACCGACTTATGCATTTGTAAGCTAATCCATTTTTAGCGATTTTCGTGGTTATTCACGTTCTTGTCTCTATAATGTTAAGTGTACTTTAATAAAACCCAACTCTGCACTTCCCCGTGGAATTACAAACATCATCCTATGCTGATAAAGCAACTAGGATAACTGGTACGCGGCCTTAACTTTGCTGGAATGTACCATGGCGCTGGTTGCACGTGTACTTTGTAGTCCTTCGTGATAAAGTACACAAGTTAGATCCAGAGAACCTATAGTGGACAACTTTCGTTCTGCATTGGTGCATTTCTAAAGAGAGGATCACGTTCCAAATGGACTTGTACATTACCTTTAGTATGTGATTGGTATTTGTGACTGTTTTGTGCTATGCGCTTTCATGTGAGAAGTTTTTTATGTTATTGTCTTGTTGTCGTAGTTATTGCGGTAATATTCAGGGCAACTGTCCACACACTCAAGGTTAAAATAATCCGTTTGACTTATTAGCCAAGGTACTTTCATTTAATGCTCGTATAACATCAAGGTTTTAGGAGGCTGAAAAGTGGACCTGTATTTTTTGTTACAATTCATACTAACGTGTTTGCGTTTTGCTACCGTTTTTTTGACGTTTATTCACATGCATAAATTGTTTGCTTTGATTGGCGTGCCCAAGTCATTCGAATTGATGGTCATCTCAGGGGTCTATTTCCGCGAATGCCGTTTCCTTGAACTTGTC